TTAGCCGTTGCTTGGTAAAGGACGTTAGCAGTGGCTCTTCCTCTGCTTCCATGCCGAAGTCCCGTACAGAACTCCTGTCAACTGTCAACGTAAGTACCTGGGTACCAGGCTGGCGGCCATTTCATACAAACCTCCTAGTCTTCTCTTCACAGGCTGACTTCCAACTGAACTCCCTCACTCACCAAACAGCTACTTCACGCCACTTCATTGAACTGAACTGCTGACAACTCCAACCAGCAACTAACTCGTCAAAGTTAAAGTTACTTTACGATTGGCGGTATACCGCCAGTCAGTTCGTCTTAGATTCAAGCCCTTTGAGACCCACTAACAGATTTGTTTTTCAACTGAACCCTTGCGGCAATACTTCTTATGCAACGCCCTCTCCGACGAGAAGATGGGGTTGTCTCAAATGAATATGCTTGGCCTTTCGTCAAGTGTATGTGTCACACATGTAGCATGTTATTGAAAATTCTTCCTTTTGTAGTATACACAAGTCCTCTGTCAGTACAGGCTTTGCAAAGCAGATCATGCCTATCTTAAGTACTGTTGATAGGTTTACAAGCCGTTACTTAGAAACGAGTGTTAGTTTATCCGCCTATTGCATAGCAACGGCTGTACTCGTCCGTTTCGAGGTCTGTGCCCAGCAACGAGTCTGTACACCAGAATATGAAGAAGAAAGGATATGTCCGTGTAAGAAAAAATGTAAAGCTATCGCTGTAACAGGCCGTGAAGGCCCATAGGGCTGTGAGACGTTGAAGCTCCCACATTATCTAGTCAATCAGCTCACAAATGGCGGTAAGGTTGTCAGGCTTACGCGCCGGCCGCCCTTTACCTCCCAGGAAGATTCCTGATATTCATTTCTGTTAGCGGCTGAGCCGACCACGGGGCCATAGTGCGACTGGAAGGATTAGGTCAATTGAAACATTTACCTCGTCGGGACTCGAACCCGTGACCTTCCACTTGTAGCACAGTGCCCCAACCAATTATGCTACCGCGTGCCCTGGATATGTCTGTATATGAAAAACAATTTGTTTGTTGACAAACAACGTTTTGGAATATGTAACATGGCTGAAGGAACGAAGTGTCCAATGAGAGAGACTTCAGTGGCTGCGGGGTGGAAGTCTACAGAGAAAAGCCACAAACCTCAGAAGTTGTGTAAATTGTGCGAGACTATGCATTGGTCAGCACATACACTTGCAACCTCACACACAGTGCAGTGGCGTGTAAGTAGGAGGAGATCCGTGGTGACATTGAAGTGTTGAGGTGGAAGATGTCGGTGGTCGTGTTTAAGCCAACGGTAAGAGGACGGAAAGTGCGAGGAGAATAACCATAGTGATAGTTAGGAACAGAAGTGAATGATCAGTGGAACTTGAGTTGTTTCAAAACAAGAGCAGCACAAGTACATTCGCCACTCCTCCCTTCTGCTCTTCCTTCTTTGTGATTCGAAGTAAAGAATAGTAAAGCATAAAATCCTGTAGACAGATTTTGTTCAAAGGACTGTACAATAGATCTGTGTTTTCTGTGAGGTAATGATGGGTAGGACCACAGAGCATGTGTCCGTGGGGCGTGACGCAATAAGAGATCCATGACGTCAGTGCTGGTAAAGAACGTGCAGGGGCTGCTAAGGCAACAGCAGGCCAGCACGCAAATGCGATATTTCACTAATTCGTTACGCCTTTCGATAAGGGGTGGGGGAATATCTAAATCAGTGAGTGGATAAAAGAATATTATATAATACACGGTGTTGTTAGACCGCTAAATGTGCGAATGTCTTGATGAAAGGAATGCGCAACTTCTGTTCATTGATGGAGCGGCATCCATTGCAAAAGATATTCTCATATTGGAATGGCATCTCAGCTATTCAAGGCCAATATTCTTTACTCTTTAATGTAAAACCTCTATAAACTCATACTGCTAGATGAAAAGAGGTTCCTTTAAGAAGTAAAGGTAAAGGTAAAGCTGTTCCTGTGTTTAACTAATTAAGCAATATGCCATGAAGGCGTATGGGGGAGTGGATGGATAGATCCATATTTTCTTGAACTCTGCACTAGCTGGAGGTGAGTGGTCAGTTTCACGCCCCTGCAGCTTTACCCCTGGTGAAAGCGCCCGCGGTACCCATTGGTTCGACCCCAGAGTCAGTCTGGACGACATGGAGAACTGGAAATTCTTGCCCCCACCGGGACTCGAACTCCGGCCCCTAGGTCGTCCAGCCCATAGCTAGTCGCTATACCGACTGCGCTGTCCCGGTTCCTTTAAGAGCTTTGTAAATAATCTAAATGCCATTTATAATTTCAATGCATCATGTTAATAAATTGAAGTACTGCATTGGTAGCTTCTCAAGAAGGGTTCAGCTCCAGGAGTGAGTACTGCATAGAATTCAAGAGTGAACAAAAATATCTTGGGGTTATGATAGGATTCTAATTATAGGCATTGATCGAGGACTTTATTTTTTCATGAAAATGGTATCGATATTTCGCGTATTTTAGGATGAGCTTCAGTCTGATAGAAGTAGAAGAATGGAAATGCTCCGTGTAGATGTATAGGCAGAGGGCGTGGTCGGAATTATGACTGCAATTTCGAATCCCTTTACGGGCGTGGATAGTTCGGTTTCCGTGGTTCTAGGCAGCAGTAACGACCTCCCGGAGGGTTAATCCCTCATCCAGTAATTCATAACATAAGTTAAAAAAAAGTGGAAAAAATAAATCTCCTTTGCTGTTATACGACACGGATTCTATACGCTACTCATTAGTAGACACCTTTCGTATAATAATCAGTACAGATTAGTTGTGTTTGCAGGAGTAGAACTTACATCTAACTTACATCTGTAACCTTAATCTAGTATATACTAAATATAATGCCTAGAATCTGCCCGGCAGAGCATTTGGCGCGAAGCGTTTAAGTCTGCTGTTCCGAATTGGCTGGCTCATGAGGTCTGTTGCTAGTGCGTTTGGATGCTTGTTAAATCCGTTACTACCGTATTTACGCATGTATAGGCCGCACATTTTTTGCCAAAAATTTCCAGAGGAAAACTGGAGTGCTGTTTATATTCGAAATATTCGAAATCACACTTCATTTAAAAAAATTATATTCATAATTAGTAATACAGGATGTTCTACTCCTGAAATAATATTCCAAGAAAATTATTTTTTCTATAATTTCTGTCTGAAAATTGTGCTGCGGCCTATACACGCAAGCGGCCTATACATGCGTAAATACGGTATATTTAACACTAAGTTACATTGAAAATTTTGGTTGGAGTATCTCACGGAAACAGACAACTACGGTAGATGTAAGCGATATTATAATAGATTACAAAGTCGTTAACTTGACCTAAATCTAAGTTCTGAACGGTTATTACGATCGTGTGTATTTTACCTGTCTATCTCTCTACAGCCCTTTTGTTGGGCCTTGGTCGCTTTTCAGTTTCTCGACCATTTACGAAGTCGGTAGGACTCCTTAGACGGGGGATCAGCGTTCACAAGGTCGCTACCTGCATACAGGACAGCACAAACACAGAATAAACGCACACAGACATCCATGCCTCAAGTGGGATTCGAACCCACGATCCCAGTGTATGAACATGCCTCACACCGCGTGGCCACTGTGATCAGCGTGTATGTTTTGTACTTAGGATTACATAGATTCTGTACTTTGCACATCCATTATTGTGAAACAACACAGCGTTTCGGATATTTAATTTGTTTCCATCTTAAGGTGAAAAGGTTGAGAGACATCTGCTCATTTAGGTCCGTTGGGGTAACCTCAGTGATTGGGATTAGCTCAGTCATTCTCGTAGCATTTCTGAATGAAAATTGTCGATCACTGGTGGTACGAATCCACAAGTTCGTATACTGAAAGCGACCTCACACATGACAGTTTCCTTCTCGTTCAGAAGTTCCTTATGGTTGCTGTTGATTTAGGTGGTTGTGGCACTATGCTACAAGCCGGAAGGTCGCGAGTTCGAGTCCCAATGAAGTAATTGGATTTTTTTCAATTGACCTAATCCTTCCAGCCGCAATATGGCTTTGGGGCCGACTCAGCCTCTAACAGAAATGAGTACCAGGAATTAATTAAATAATTTTCCTGGGGAGTAAAGCGCGGCCGGCGCGTAAGGCTGACAACCTTACCGCCACCTTTGATCCTATTGTCTAGATAATGTGGGACCCTTAACGTCTCACAACCCTATGGGCCTTCATGGCCTGTTACAGGGATAGCTTTACTTTATTTCTTTTTACGTACAGTTGGGCAGGACTATCTTAGCGTGCCATATAAAAGTCCCCAACTGGGATCCATCTTGGGAGTGTCTGCCAGAATTCCATCCCCTGGATGTGTTAGTTGTTGTCACAGGTTAATTTAAACAGTAATTCTGTAACTGAAATCCATGACAAATATCCATTTTGTTTATACAATTCTATTAACAAATTCTCGGCTTATATAACAAATCAACCTCATAGTTTAAGTAGTGCTGAATGGTAGGATTCTTGTGTTGCAAACAGTGTTGACTGAAGCTGGGGTGCCTCAGTTTATGGTGGCGTCCCATAATTTGTTGTGAGCCGCGGTAGCGCAGTCGATATAGAGACTGGTTGCGGGCTGGTCGGCCGAGGGTTCGGAGTTCGAGTACTGGTAGGGGAAAGATTTAACAGACCGGTTCTAGGGTCCACCCAGTCTCTTATCCAGAGGGTACCGGGGCTGTATCCCGGTGGCAAAGCGGCCGGGACGTGAAGTTGACTACTCCCAACTAATGCTGAGGTCAAGAATACCTGGATCTATACATCCACTCCCCTATACGTCGTCATGGCATAGTGCTTAATTAATTAAGCGCAGGAACAAGCTTACCTTCACCTTACCCCCAAATTTGCCAGGAGGGACTGAGGAAGACGTAGAAGAATCTCGGTCAAGACAGACGGCCTCCGGGCTCCGCCTCCAACCGGGAAACTCTTCAGTACAAACGAGAGTGGTAACTCCACAACGGCGACAGTTCGCACTCCTCGAATTAGGGTGCTGAAACGCGGTTGATATTGATGTCGCTTGAAACTGTAGATAGGTACATCCACAACTGGAGCCTGTATGAGATAAAAGAAATATCTAGCATTATACCGACGAGATAAATGTATGATATCAGTGTGTCAAAACGAACGTAAAGAGAATTTTATTACAATTTCGAGCGGAAGAACATAATCATAAAATCAGCAACTGCTCCTCGATCCTCCCCCACTTCCAAAACGTGTCGATAGCCTTCCCATAAACGTCAAGCGTGGCATATAAAAATATCATACGTAGATTTCACTTATTGCTTGTCATCATTCATCATACATCGCCTCCCGTGACACATGCCGTATGCCGCCATTTGCATTATCTGCATGCAGCTAGCATTGGCGCGCATAGGACAACAACTGACAATCTCGCTCCGTGCACACTGCCTAATATCAATTTGTTCTAGCTGCTTATTTCATGCACGTTGTTTGTTTACCTAGTTTCGCATTTTATGCATTTGCCACGTTGCAGTATGCATCCTAATGCCATGGCTGAAGGAAAGCATATCGTTCATGACATAAAGCAACTTATTCAACTTCTCTTCCAACTAGTTACTATAGGATTCTGACGATGGTGTATAACACACTGATATATTGGGTTTTTGGACTTTATCCATCGTCCTGGTTTTTAAGATAACTAATAAAAACAGACGTTTCGGAAACTGGATCACTGTGATTGAGGCTAGCTCTTTCTAACGGACCCAACAGAATAGGTTTTTTCCTTCGCCTGAGGACGGAAACAGATCCAGTTTCCGAAACGTCGTGNACCTAATGCCATGGCTGAAGGAAAGCACATCGTTCATGACATAAAGCAACTTATTCAACTTCTCTTCCAACTGTATTTGAATACGTGTTAAGACGGCAAACACTGAAACTGTTTGAAATGTTGTTATTTCTGTAAGTTCAAAAAGAAAATAACTTTAATTTAATAATTCTTTAGAATTCCGTCATGTCTCTATGCAAAGGCCTATATGTGTATTCCGCCTTAATACACTTCTAAACAACTTAAGACTTACATAAAATTTGGTATTCACATTATGTCACTGAAGACTGCCCTGTCTGTGTAGATTTTGTACTCTTATAGATTGAAACATCAACACAGCTGCTTTGCTGACTTCTCATTTGGAAGTACGACTGGCACCATTAGAAAGGAACTCTGTAGTAAACCTTTGTCAAGTACGAACATTTTTAATGACAATTTGTGTGTAAAATGTACGAGTAAATCAAAAGCATGGCTACCACCCGAAAGTTATGTACAGGCAATGAACCATTTTTCTGTGCATTTGTAATCCTGTATACCAGTAATAAACATATTACGAATAAATTTATAGGCCTATGGATAGATTTGTACATGTCAGAATTTACAACATGGTGGTGAGCTACCAGATTTTTTCTGAGAAGTAGTGGGTCTGGAACGGGGTCCACTCAGCCTCGTGAGGATAATTGAGGAGCTATTTCAAGGAAATAGCGGCTCCGGTCTAGAAAACCTAAATTAACGACCATGGGGATTCGTTGCACTGACCACGTGACACCCTCTATCCGCAAAAGTTGGCATTAACTTCGCCTACAAGCGGCGGTCGCTCGGTCGGTATAGATCACTTGAGGACTAAAATCACGGAGTTTTTTTTTTTGTTTGGTGCGAAGTTTTGAAGCCATTCGTGGGACATTTAATACACTCGAAGTTTGTATTAATATGATTGTATTTTAAATTTCTGTCTATTAATATAAGGCATGAATTGTCTTCGCTCGCTCGAACTCTGGGATCACGGGTTCGAATCTCACTCAAGGAGTAGATGTTTGTGTGTATTTATTCTGTGTTGTTCTTTATGTAATTAGCATTCTTGCGACAGCCTGATCCCCTGTCAAAAGCGGCCAGAGTCCAACGAAAGAGTGTAGAGCCATAGATAGTTAGGCAGGCAGGCAGAGAGATACATGGATAGATCCTGAGAAATATTTCGATCCTAATTTCTCTACAGATCTTGTTTCTTTTAATATATTTCCCTCTCTTAAGGAGGAAAGTGAAGCTGATAGGAGCATCATATGTGTCTCTTCTAAATTTTAAGTCATTTCACTGAGATTCAAGAAATTAGGTATGAGCAATACACCATTGGAGTGCACTCCAAACTCACACTTTCTGATTTCTTGCAATCGGAAATAACACCATGGCAGACACGAGCTCCTGAGGTAGGAACGCCACTGGCGGCACATAACATGCGGTCCCAAAGTGACGTGCTGTAATAGATCTTCGAATAAAAGTGTAACTTCATAAGTCTTTTTATTTGCTTTTGTGGAATGTAAAACGACATGGCTGAATTGAAAACCTTTCGTTTAGCTTTCAGTTTGACAGCGATAATTCATGGACTACTGGAGATATGAAACTGAAATTTATTGTGCAGATAGAATAGGAACATCCATACATATATACATACATATGGTATATTGTTTATAAGCCGACAGTTACGAAAATGGTAATGGTACGAATCTTTGAGCTTATACGCAGAAAATCTAACGTACACAAAAATAGTACTTAAATAATAACAACAAACTTATGCTTTTTTCCCAAACAAGAAAGTGATGATGATGATGATGATGATGATAATAGTAATAATAATAAAGGAATTTTTTAGATATTAACAGTTAAACTATTCGGTCTGGAGCAGATTTGAATACTATGAGCGTACACCTACGCTTGAGTCCACCACAGTGCTCCATAAGCAATTTTCTGTTGAATTACTAACTTCCAGTCTGCAACGCCTATATAAAAGTAGCGATACAGCGTTTGCAAGATTGAAATTGTGTGTACTAGTCGTTATGAGTTCTGCGAGAAATCCTTCTTCGATTTATAATGGAATGTTTTAGGGAATAGTTGCTTTTGGACTTCACGGTAGACGTAGAAACTTGGCATACATGTACACTCTCGAACCAGAACTAAGTTTCATAATTAAGCTTCGTGTAGGTAAGTCACACACAGCCTGATGTTAAGAGCATGGTGAATACACAAGATTAGACAGCTGCATCTACATCCGCACGTTGTGCGACATAACGGAGATGAAATATCTTTATTGCCTGGATAATGGAATTGTGCGTAACTATCACGTCAGTCCCCACCCCCGTGCTGCAGTTTACAGATGCTGTGTACTGTAACAGAGATTCCCACCCCATCGTGGCAGTGGTTTTTATCTGCCCATTATTTGTATTCACTTATCCGCTTGCATGGATGCTCATACTCATATCACACTCAGAGAAACACTGTAATAACCCTCCACCCACACATCCCTTCAGTTAATCGTGTTATATTTCATCGAATGTAATCGAAGGGGAATATCTGTACACCCTGATGGTAATATATAGGCTCATTTTTATTCACCCCACTCTAAAAGCAAGTGCTACAAGAACGCACTACCTGTGTTTTTAGACTTGGCTGTTCTGAACACAATGCACGTTTGATTTAGGCAAATACACTTTGATAACGATTGTAGGGTGTGTATGGTTATAATAGGGCGTTAGTTGCACCCTCTCACAGTGCAGCTGCAACCACTGCGCTGCTACTTCTTCTCATAAACAAGCCAGAGATCAGACGAAAATATAAACATGGCTTGCATGCTTGCTGAAAAGAGTGAATTAAAATTGTGAAGCAGGGCTGTGCTGTTTCTGTACACTGTCGGGAACTGTTAAGCAACAATTTATACATCTGTAGAATATGAAAACATGTGTAAATAACTGAATTATTTTATGTAATTTAATTGGGGTTGAAATTAAAATAAAGAGTTAGAGTCAAGAGTTTTACATACTGGGATAAAACGCTGTGTAGTCAGTTGAAATTCAAACGAAGCAGGTAGTACACGTAAGCTCTCTTGCTACCTGCTTCATGCTGGTCTCTTGCTTGGCTTCCTTCGACCATGAACATTAAGGCGACATATTCCTACTAAGCTTTGATATTCAATGGACTACACGGCGTTATATCCCAGAAGATATAACTGTTAATAACCACAGACGTGATAACCTCAAATCCTACAAACAGTTACCGTGGCTGGATACCCAGCTTTTCTTGTTCTGTTTTTTTAATACGTGCGTTTTTAGGGGTAGATGAGACAATGTCTGTCACGGTAGCCGAGAGGTCTAAGGGGTGTGTTGTCTTCGCCTGCTCGGAAGCCGGGATCGTGGGTTCGAATCCCACACAAGGCATTGGTGTTTTATGTGTGTATGTGTTTATTCTGTTTGTGTTGCCCTGTGGTTAGGTAGAGGCCTTGCGACAAGCCGATTACCCGGCCGAGGAGACCAACCGTGTGTAAAATGATCATGAAACTGAGAAATCAGCCCTGTGCTCCAAAGTGAGAGCAAGAGGAGAGAGAGAGAGAGAAAATAAAGATGGCGCATCGTCAGACCCACTGCCGCAGTTGCTAGGGACACGATGGTAAACCGTCTGATTACATAAACGCACTGAACTTCTTGGGCAGCAACGCTCCAGACCCTGTAATTAAGGGTTCATATGTTTATGATGGTCATGATTTAGGATTTCAAAATGAATTGAGACTGACAGTATATTACACTGGTTTATATTGAAAACCAGAAGGATTTCTAGAACCAGCGTCTCCAGCGGTCTCTGCTCCCTCCAGTGACAATCGCCGAGGATGCTGCAATTCTCGTATCTTGTTGTCACTCTAAGTTACAGCCACGAATTAAAGTAAAAAAGTAAAGTTGTCCTTATGCTTCACTAATTAAGCACCAGTTATGAAGGCGTACGTATACATCCACATTTTCTTGACCTCGGCACTAGTTCGAGGTGAGTGGTAAGCTTCACGACCCAGCCGCTTTACCCTCCGGGGAAAGAGCCACCGGTACCCATTGGATAGGAGGTTGGATGGATCCCAGAGCCGGTCTGGACGACATGGAAGAGAGAAAATTATTGGCCCTACCGGTACTCGAACTCCGACCCCTCCGCCGTCCAACCCAAAGCCAGTCGCGATACCGTCTACGCTATCCCGGCTCCTTAGAGGCATGAATTACAGAAAATGTTTGGATTTTATTAA